ATGCCGTGCCGTGCCGGGCGGGAGGGTGGGTGACGTCAGGGAGCAGACTGAAGGGTGCCGGTGGCTTATCAGCTCCCAGCCGCCGTGTTTGCCCAGCGGTTCCCGGACAGGATGGCTGCTGCTCCCACCTTGGCATTGCCGGTGTGGGTGTGTGGAGAGGGGAAAGGAAGTGCTGCAGAGCTGGTATCGGTGCCGGAGCTGGTGTCAGTGCTGGCACCGCTGCGTGCTCCAGGGCTGCTGGCCTGGGGAGGGGGCAGGTGACAGCCGTGCCCGGCTGGCACTCTCGTCACCAGTGCTGCACCGTGCCAGGAGCTGGGGACCCCACCCTGAGCTCCGGGGGACAGCTCGGCACAGGGTGCAGGGTGCTCAGGGCAGGGTGGCAGGGAGGGCTGCGAGGGAGCAGACTGGGAGCTGCAGTCACCCCAAGGGCAGGGGGACAGGGCAGCTCTGGAGCAGGGCTCTGGGTGTCCTCGACGGTTGGTGTCCCACCCCCTGAGCATCCCCAGCACCGGCGGTGATGGCGTCTGGGCGCTGTGTCAGGCCCCCGCCACCCTGTGCGGCTGTCACAGGCAGGCTGTCCTGCGCCCCTTGGCTGCCCTGTGTCCCCCGACACCCTGCGCCCCCCAGCCACCTCCAGTCCCCTGGCCCTCCGTGTCCCCTGGCCGTGCTCTGCGCTGCCCCAGATGGCCCCGCTGGCACGTCCCACTGCCAAAACAGAAATGGCACGTCTGGCCACAGCCGCCTCAGGACGCTCGCCATTGTCACTGTCCTCAGTCCCTCACGCACTGCGTGGGCCAGCATGGCACAGGCCATAGCAGAGACACGGAGCACCCCAGCACCCATCCACGGTGACAACGCTGCTGCCCCGCGTGCTGTCCTTGCCGTGGGGCTGGCCCAGCCGCTCTCCACACAGCATGTCCCCATCCCTGGATCCACAGGTGTTGCCTGGTGAGAGCTACCACCCCTGGGCACCCAGTGCCACCCCCCCCAGGGAGCACAGCACCCCGAAGTGCCTCTCCCACCAGCCGTGCCCTTGGGGCTGTGTCTTGCCACCTCAAAATGTTCCAAACCCCTTCCCAGGGCTTATCAGGGAGCCCTGCACCTGCCTTGGCAGGGGCATGAGGCTGGAGATGGGGGGTCCGGACCCACACGGGGGCTGTGTGGCACCCAGCCCCACTCTGCTGGGGGGGGGCAGGCACCACAAGAAACCCCCCGGAGAGG